GATAAAATTTAAATAAAAATTGAATTAAGCAAAACTTAAAAAATTCCCCTTAATACATTAATGAAATGCCAATGTTTGCTCTTTCCATCTTAATAATGGAATAATCATTCCATTATTAAGATGATAGTTTTAATGTCATATGCTTGTAATAACTGTTTTTATGAATTTTGCATAGACATTTCTTATGTAACACATTTAATTTTGCACTATTAAATTCATATATACTTTGAAGTTTCACTAACATAAATTGCCATTGGTAAGATGATGGTATCAATGATTAATACATTCTGTCATTTTGATGTCTGAAGTCTCAATTAGTTACATTCATTGCAATACTACTAGGTGCTTTGCCAATCATTCAATCAATAATTGCTTTGATTCCACCTCTAGACACTCCAGCAACAAAAACCATTGGTGTCTGATGATTATCTTTGTCATTTTAATCTGTTCCACTGTTTGGTTTATGCTATTTTCAATAATTTTGGCTTTATTTTTTTTTACTATTTATTTTTAAATCAATTTTGCTAGCTGTTTCCTCCAATCTAATTGTCATTTCTTGCAAATTGTGTCTCATGTCAGCTGAGTTAAATTTTCTACATGATGAAGCTAAAAACTTTTTAAAAAATAGAAGAAACTATAAATGTCTTCATTGCTTCCTTTCACACACCTCAGGAACAAAACTGTTTTTCCTGATGAAGTCAATCTTTTATTAAAGGCTACTCATCCAGAGTAATATGCAAAACGAAATCCCAGGGTGATGTTTCTATTTCCCATATGCTGTTATTTTTGATTATGGCAGTTTTAAAGTATTGCAGTGCTTTTCCTGACAACATGTAATGACAACACAGTAATGGGGATTTTCCTATACTGCTATACTATATGATATACAGTCCATGTCTCATTAATTAATAGGTCAATGTTCAATCATGATTCAGATAGTAAACTATAGCATAAATATGGCCAGTCAATAAAAGAATCAGAATTCAAGTTTAGGTCCAAACATCAAAAATTTGGTCTGGCGATGTCAGATACTATCCTTCACATCTAGTCACATCTGGCTAAATCCATAAAGATTCCTTTTATTTCCTTCAGAACAAAAGAGAAAACTAAGATATAAAAATCTAAATTATCATTTTTTTTCTTAAAGTTTTCATTTTAATATTTTATGTAATAATTTCATATGCCATGAGTTATAAATATACTAAAAAACTTTTGAATAAGAAATAAATTAATTTGGGAATGTAATAAAAACATTATTTTTGTGATATTTTAATAAAAGCAAAATTAATTTTGCACACTTAGAATATATGCTTTAAAATATTGAGAAAAAAATAAAAGATTAGAATTAATTTATAATACAAAACAAAGCAAACATGGAAATGTCTGATTCATATTTTGCAAGTTTAATACAACTATTTTATATGTATGAATTCAAAGATTTTAAACAATTCTCAATCATATAAATTATAAAAACATTATTCATAACTTTAAAGCTTTAGACAAGACATATTTATAAAATGTTTATCATTTATTACAAGTAAACAAATTTATATTTTTCAAAATTATACAAATAAAATTCACACAGATTACATTATGTAAAAAACAAAAGAAAAAGTCACACACAAACCCATATCATAATCTTTATGTTTACTAAAAAAATGTTTTAACTACTGGTATATGTAACAGATTATGTAAATCTTTAATTTAGTAATCACATTAAAAAATGACTAATACATTGAAAACAAACATTAAGATGATTCAACACATACAATTTCACACTTAATATGATTAAAACCAAAAACAAGGATTTTTAATTTTATTCAAACTGCAAAACAGTAATAATATCAATTCTAATTTCAAATCATTAATAAAGTCTCCAAAGAACAAATCATAAATTTGTAATGAAATTATCATGCATTATAAAATACCTTCTTTCATTATTGCATAATGAAATGATGATTTCAATGAAATTTGTACTTTCTTCTCTATTCACAAGATGTAAATGTATGCACGACACTACAAACAGATGAATGAATTAACACACATCAAAATAATACAAAATATTAAATGAAAAAAAAAAAAGAGATCTTCCTTCTTGTAAAAGAAGCAAGGAAAATCATTTCTTCCAAGAAAACATTTTGAAATTGGATTTATTATACCCTGCTACAATTACTTTGAAGTAAACCACATGATAAAAACTCAATGCATTATTTCTAATATACTTCATTCTAATTGTCAAAATGTTATGAAAAACTTAATATTATGATTACAATTCTTTTTATAGTGGAATTTACTAATAAAGGTACTTGTAATGGCACAACATTTTATATTGCAACCATTATATTGAAATATTCCAATTATTTATTAATTTCAAATCAAACATATCATACTGCTTTGAATTTATAATGCATCTTTATCACATTTCCAAAATTTAAAATTGGAGTCTTTCTTCAACTCAAGATGTAAGATTCAATTCTTAATTTTCAAGTATTCTTTGTAGCTCTTCTAATTTATCATCTAATTTTATTTTTCTTCCTAAAAATTCTTTTTGAAAGAAGAATGCATACTGTATTAAATTCAAAGCAACACAATTATTTTTAAAAATGCCTATTTAATGAAAGATTAATAAGATTTTAAAAATATACAATTATTAAAACTGGTAAAAACAAATATTTTGTTTTTTTCATTTAACCATTTAAGCATTAAGTTTTTCTTCTATAGTCAAATTGCATGTACTGTACAGTACTTATTTAAAATGATCAGAAAACCAATAACAAAGAGACACATCACCAGATATGAGATAAAAATTTCAGTCTAATTGCAAATTAATTACAAATTTAATTGTTATTGGATAGAGAAATTTTCTGGGTCTATTTTCTATTATTACAATTTGTTGTTTAATATGGTAATATGTACATGTTTATGTTCAGTTAAAATATAAAATAGATAAAATATTTTTTTAACCTGCTACATTTATAAACAATTGTCATATTATTATTATTATTATTTATATACATGCTCAAAACAACACATTAAATTTCCATTATATCCAACTGTATGTGGCCACCTTGAAACCCTGAAAAATCTTTATTCTTAAAAATATATTTTGAAAGAAAGCATTTATATATCCCATCTCTAGTATTTAAAAAAATTAAACATGCTTTTAAAAATATTCCAGCATCTGACACATTTTGAATGTTTTCCTCTTTCACAACAATAATAATATAATCAATTGATATAATTTACAATGCAAAAAATTAAAAATAAAGGTCTATTGAAAAATTAATTTAAAATAGACCTTCAAATTTCCATTCTTGAAACAAGCTAATATGCTAGTAAAACATATCTTTAAAAAGAGCATGTATACAAATAAACACCAACTCCCTTCAGAAATGACCACTACCATTTTGTTAAATAGATCTTAAATTTAGGAATTTTAAAATATCTTTTTTTTAATAATTAAAATTTGCTTTCATCTTGTAATATATATCATAGAAAACTCTTTTTAAAGTTAATTTTTCTAATTTCAATCAACTTATTCCAGGTATTTATTATGTAACATTTCTCAATATATCCAAAATAATTTTTATGAGTATTTCAATTATTAAAACAAATAAAATAAATATAAATTTTTCTTAAATATATATTTTAAACATTAAATTAATTTTTATTTCCAAAATTCTTTTTATTTTAGATTTTATATGAAATTAAATTAATAAAACTTTGATTTCATTTTATTGTTTAAAAATTTTTTTAATGATTTTAGATTAATTAATTAATTAAACAATTCCAATATTTCCAAATTTCTTATAACAAAAGTGATTATTTGAAGTAATTTTAATATGCACTAATGCTCTTTGCCAGTACAATAAATTATGTAGCAAACACTTTCAAAACAATGATTTTAATATTTTTATAAAGTTTAGTTAGATAATTAGTGAAAAAATGTCAGATAATTCAATTCAGTTTTACATTTTATGTACAAAATCACACACAAGATTTTTCTAAGAAACTTTTCCATTCCAAAAACAGTTGAGATTCATTTTGCATAATTTTCAGTAAAAATTCCATGTAATTAATTACTTAAAATAATATTTATGAATTTACTTCTATAAAATTTATGCATAAATTTCACTGTTATACTATTATAAAAGTTTTAATATAACTTTATATTAAAACATCATAATTCTTACATACTGTATATTAATTTGAATAATCAAAACTTTATGATAGCAATTTTCATGTTAAAGAATATAATATTAAATCTAATATTTTGCCTACGTAAATAATTATATTTGTTAAAATTTACAGTATATTGTTGTTGTTGTTAATTATTAAAATTGTTATTTTTTATTTTTTATTATTAAAATTTATATTTGTTATTTCTTGAATATTTCCACTTATAATTCTAAAATATCAAGTTGAGAATATTTATAGAGAGACTAAGCAAATTGAAGGAATTTAGATAAATTTTGTAAGATACATTTTAGAAATCAAGCAATTTAAGAAATAAGTTGACTTTTGCACATTGAAAATGTTACTGCTGTTCTATTCCTTGAGTTGGAATCAAAATTGTATTAATTCTACAAAAAGAAATAATACAACTCAACACCATACTTATAAAAAATTTTTAAGTTATATTTGCTGCCAGACATGAATACAAATTACAAACTTCATAAAAAAAAAATAAATAAATGAATGTGATTACTATGAAAAATGATGATATCTTTTCTTAGCACCACTGTTGCAAATGAACTGGGAAATGGAACTACACATCATCATATATAAATATTGTTTGTATTTAGTACATCAATCTATCAATGAAAACAACGAAGATAACATGTGTGGAATTTTATAATTTTTATATCTTTAGAAAACAATTACATAAATGGTATTTTAAAATAAAATAAATCAATATTTAAATTTGACAGCAATATATTTAATATAATAGTATATTATATTTTTAATGTAGTAATTTTAAAACAGATAGTGCTGTTAATAATTTTTACAATATATTATATAGTTTAAAGAGCATTTTTTAAAATTTTTTTAACTTTATATAATTATAAAACTTGTATGTTAAAATCAACTTCAAAATTGCACTTAATTAAAAATATTGATATGTTATTGTGAATCACACATAACAAAACAAACATTTTGACTTAGAAAATTTTAGGTAATGAGAAATTATATATATATGTATATATAAATAATAAATAATGCAAAATAAATAAATTTATATTTATTTTTAAAGTAAAACTTCCCACATGTTAACTTCTTTGCATTTCAGAAAATATTTTGCAAATATTTTTATGATTTTTTCAGCTCTTTTCCATCCATCGTAAAAAGTACAGGAGTTTTATATTGTGTATAATCTTTATACATTTTAATCCACATCTGAAAAATACCAAAGGCACAATATGTGGATATTAAAAGTAATGGTAAAAAGGGCAAACGCTGATCCAATCCTAATAACTTATTTCCGAAACTGTAATACATCTGTAAAGGTATTAATCCTAAAAGAAATAAGCTCTCTTGGGTATTCAATAGTGGAAGAAAACCATCTGTTTTTCTTGGTCTACAAAAAATATTTTAAAAATGTAATTAAAGAAACAAGATATAATAGACAGATTTAATATATTTTTCTTCACTTACCGATGTATTCTACTTAAAGCTGTAAATGCATATACACTGTGTAGCAACAAAAGAAATATCTTGATGGGAGTTTCTATAAAAACATACGTGTATAAATATAAGTAAATATTTAACTATAAGAAGAAAAGTAAGTGTATTTAAATACCTGCTGCCTTAAAAAGAAGTGGAAAAATAGAATAATGGCCAATAGTTGCCAAAAATAAAAATACTTCAGCTTCAAAACGTTGAAAAAGAGCCAAAGGCCTGAAATTATAAAATGCAATATTTTCCACTAAAATGAAATTCATTGTTTCTTAATCTAAACTTTTATTTTACCATTTTAAATATTAAAGGTTAATGATAAAAACATTTCAATTTATTTTATTAAGATCATTAATATTCACAAATTCATTATAATTTTCTTAAATTATTATTATTAACAGACAAATTGTACAATCAGAATTATTGCATATTTTATAAAGATATATCATCAAAATACATGCTTACGTCAATGGTAAAATAACCATGAGAATAGCTTTTTCATGAACATGCCATCCAAATAAAAATGCACCAAAAGCACATAAGATTGAACCCCTCATAAATATCCAAGGATCTTTAGGTGATTTCCATAGTACCCAAAGAACAGGCTAGATTAAAAAATATGTATATTGAAATAAATCATAATTTCATTAAATACAGAATGAACTGTAAACTTAATAATGCTTTTAATATGAATTAATATTAAAAAGAATAAACTGTTTTTTAAAAATAATTGACAATTAAGTATAACAGTTTTCTGTTTTATTAAGAAATATAATTGCTTATAACTTTCTACATCATTTTTTAAAAAAATGCTTAATATAGAGAAATCTCCAAATACAATAATCTCTCACTGTTTATGTTAAGAAACATTCTCATTTCATTTTAAACTAATCAGCATGATAATGTATACAAACAAGGATAAAATATCAATAATATAAATGCAATTAGATTGAAAGAATGTTTTGTTTACTTTTACTCATCATTAAAACTAGATTTACTTAACAAACAAAGAAAAATACACTGATTTTTTTCAGCTAAAGTATTACCAACTTTTCTGCTATTTTTGAATTACTTTTATTAAAACAATGAATTCAAAATATTTCTACATTTTTCATTCATTCATTCATTCTGAGTATAAATGATGTAGGCTTGTTATTTGCAGTTTAAAAAAATTTTTTTTGTTCAAAAAAGTTCTTAAAAAAAGAAATACTCTTGAAATTTTTATATTCTAAAATAAAATTTTAAATTAAATACAAAATTTTTTTATCATCTTTCTCATCCTTTTGCACCCACCATGAACATACTTTAAAAAAATTCCTAACAGAAACTGTGTTGTAAATATTTCCTAGTACAGTAGAGCATCGATTATCCGACCCCCGATTAACTGTCACATCGGTTAACCGACTGTTCTAGTGGCAAATTTCAAATGTCCGCTAGTGATGTGGTGCTGCAATATTTGGGTATGTCTTGGCTATTTTAATATTATTTTTGTTAAATTTTTGCATGTGTTAGCTGGCAACACTCGCTCGACCATGAAAGGGAGGCCAGTATTTAAACAAGACTTAATTTTCTAATTATGAGTGGTTGTTTGTTTTGTGAGCAATAAAATAATTTTAAAATAATTTTTAACAATACATTATTATTTTAAAAAAAAATTTTTATGCTTAAAATCGATGAAAATTCAACGTGAAGTAGGTTAATAGCAATATACTAATATACTAATTACATAGGATATACTATACTAATGTATTTTTTTCATACTTTTCGGTTATCCGATTTTTTCAGTTATCCGACCAACCCAAGTCCCCAATTGAGTCAGACAATCAATGCTCTACTGTATATGTGAAAGAATCAAAAACACATACAGAACTTTTATATTATCATCAATTCTTTAATCTTATTCTCTGTCTATTTCTAATAATAACATATGAAACCAACTTAATAATTAATTTGAATATCAAATAAATAGTCATATTCTTTGTCAGACTACGTAACACTAGTTAATTATTAAAGCAATTTAGCTAGAAGTAGGCAGTTAAGCCACCAACTCTCATTAAATTTCATAATTAGAAATAATTTAATACAAAATTTTCTGGAAAAAAAGAATAAATTAATTTATTTTTAATTATTAAATTTACAATGGTGGACAAAACTTTAAAGACAGCAAAAATTCCATCAAAACAACTAACTTAATTAAAATTATTGGTTCAATAATGTTCATATGCTTTAAAAAAGTAAATTAATAGGTTTATATAATAATGAAAGAATAGTGTTGGACTAGTTCTTCCAAAAAGTAGAAAACCATGTAACCTTAGTAACCACTGTCCCAAACTCTTCTTTCAATGATACTGCTTAAGATGTTCTAACATTCAGCCAAATTAATGTACAGTACATGCAATGATTTTAAGGCACAAAGTAGACCTTGAAGTCTTTTCTGTGCCAATAATTACTTTTCCTATTTATTATCATTGCAACATTGCTTCATTCGAAATTTCCTGTAGTTGTAGTCTGTGTAATGTACACTTTTATCACATGTATAGTCTTATTGTCAAATCTGCTTCCAGTAAACTTACGCCAAAACTTTCAAAGTTTCCTTTACTTAGATGCTTTTGCAGAGCTTTACTTTTTCAACCTGGCTTCACCAGATTTCTTACAGGATCACATAAATTATTCTCATATTTTTACAAGATTTTTTTTATTTAAACAAGTCTTACATCAAGTATTTCGGCATTAAGATTAGTAACGTCTATCACATGCGGGACCATCACAACTTATCCAATACAGAGCACTTTAAACCAGTATTAAGTAGTAATTGTTGACCATCCTCTCTCCCAGGAAAATGACAACTACTTTTGGTCAAATTAACTTCAACTTCCTTCTGCAACTGTCCCTTCTTTCTATCAGACCAATCAGTATGATGACATTCAAATAGGAAAATTACATAATACAAGGTTATCAGCCTGCACAAGATACAATTTAAGAGGTTTTCAAGAGTGCCAAGTATAAATATTTGATCCATTTTTTGTGAAATTTGATTAGTTGGTACAGTAATACCTCAACTTATGCTACTCCAACTTACGCAAACCCAGAGTTATGCAATTTTCAAATCTTGTCGATTCATCTTGTGTTTGAGCACCACGCAACTCTTGATTACTCACTCCCCCCACACTATTGTTCAGCTTACATGCTTGGACATGTTGCACGTAATTGACGCATAGCTACAATTTATTTTGTGTTATTTATTTCTGTGTTTGTTATATCTACAGAGACTTGAAAGACTCTACTATGTCATCCAAACAAAGTAGAACTGATTCTTCTGCATCAAACAAGAAAAAAAAACTTTATCTTTGGAATGTAAAGTTAACATTACTAAAGACTTTGATACAAAAATGAAAATTTGTGAATTGGCAAAGAAGTTTAATCTACTGGAATTGACGGTCAGAACAATTATAAAAAGTAAAAAAAATTCTCGAAGCTGTGAAAAATGCTCAATCCTTAAATTCAAGCATCATTCGTAAACATCATGGTATTATTGCTGAGATGGAAACAATGTTAAAATTATGGTGTGCTAATCAAGTAAATGTAAAAAATTGTCCTGTTGATCAGAACACAATGTGCTCTCAAGTTAAGCTGGTTTTTGAGAAATTGAAAGAGGATGCTGGAGAGGTGGCTAAAGATGAAGTGTTTAAAGCTAGTAACAATTGGTTCAGCCGATTCAAAAGTCACCGTAATTGGCATAGCATTGTAGAAAGTGGAGAGGTGACAAGTACTGATAAAGAGGCTGCGTTTTACTATCCAGAGAAATTCAAAGCTATGATAGATGAAGGTGGCTATACCAGCCAAACCATATTCAACATAGATGAGACTGGCCTGTTCTGGAAGATGCCTAAAAGAACTTTTTTCATGCGTGAAGAGAAAACCTTTCCAGGTTTTAAGGCCGCCAAAGATTGATTGACAGTGATGGTTGGCGTGAATGCAGCTGGTGATTGAAGTTAAAACCTCTCTTAGTTTTGGTACTTTCGAAACCGTGCTTGTAGTTATTAGTAGTAATTCAAACACAAATAATTATCGTATTTATCTTCAGGCACTTGGCAATACTCATCATCAAGTTTTATTCAGTCAAATTCAAACACAAATAATTATCGTATTTATCTTCAGGCACTTGGCAATACTCATCATCAAGTTTTATTCAGTTGAATCAACTGAATAAAACTTGATGATGAGTATTGCCAAGTGCCNCTTGTAGTTGATAGTAGTAATTCAAACACAAATAATTATCGTATTTATCTTCAGGCACTTGGCAATACTCATCATCAAGTTTTATTCAGTTGAATCAACTGAATAAAACTTGATGATGAGTATTGCCAAGTGCCTGAAGATAAATACGATAATTATTTGTGTTTGAATTTGACTGAATAAAACTTGATGATGAGTATTGCCAAGTGCCTGAAGATAAATACGATAATTATTTGTGTTTGAATTACTACTCTCTTAGTTTATCGCTTGGAAAATCCAAGAGCATTGAAAAATAAATCGAAAGCTGGCTTGCCTGTGATTTGGAATTCGAATCATAAAGCTTGGGTGGCAGCTTCCCTTTTTGAGGACTGGTTTGGTCATCACTTCATACCCAAAGTTGAACATTATTGCCAATCTAAACAAGTTCCATTTAAAGTGATGCTAATAATCAGCAATGCACCAGGTCATCCCCCTGCAAGTTTAACTCATTTTGACCCATGTGTGAAAGTTGTATTTTTGTCACAAAATACAACCAGCTTGCTTCAACTGATGGATCGGGGAGTCATGAAAACATTCAAAGCTTCAAACATTCAAACATTACACGAGACGATCATCTGCATGAAGCTATGAGACAAAACAATGAGCTCTCTGTTAAAGACTTTTGGAAACAATTCAATGTTTTATATGCAGTGAGAATCATTGAACAATCTTGGAATGAAGTTTCACAAAAAACTTTAAATGGCATCTGGAAAAAAAACTGTGTCCTTTTTTTTCACCACTGAAACTAAGGCGGAATCAGTGCCAGAGCTTGATGAAATTGGTAATGTGATTGAAGAAGTTGTCAATCTTGCCAGGCAAATAAATTTAGAAGTGGATAGTGATGATGTTCGAGAACTCTGGATTCCCACAATCAGGAGCTGACAATCAATGAGCTCATAGAAATGTGTAAGCAAGAGCAAGACATTGAAGAACTTGACCCTTTAGACTCAGTTCAATCAGAAGATCGAATGACGGTTGGAAACTTGACAGAAGGCCTCGGTTCAATTGAAAAAAGGTTACAAATTTTAGAAAATATAAACTCCAACAAAGAGTGCATTTCTTCTACAAAACAAGAAATAAAAAAATTATTAGCATGCTACAAGGAAATTTTGTGGGAGAAAAAATTTTTGAATCGTCAGATGAATTTGTTAGATTTTATGAAGCTTTCTACATCAAAATAACTTCGGTTTACAATTTTAATAATATAATTTGTTATACATATGTATTATCTAAGATTTTATTAAACATTTTTTCTAAATTATTGNTTTTAGATTAATTAATTAATTAAACAATTCCAATATTTCCAAATTTCTTATAACAAAAGTGATTA